ACACAGCAGGCGAACTAAACAATCTAGAGCGTCGGCATATATAATAAATCAATGGAGAGGAGAAGGGAAATGGAATTTCAAGGTCGCAGGGTGAAGACAATCAGAGCATTATAATCAGTTTCATTACCTTATTGTCACACCTCGTATGTTAAGTGACGAAGTTAGTTAAATTTTGCAGGATGATTTTAAAATAAATTTTCATAATTTTATCTATAAAATGACACTTTCACTATCAAATTCGCAATGTCCTAAATAGAAAAAAAAAATTCCAAAAAAAGTTTTAATTATAAAAATTAATATTATTTTTTAACAAAAATTTTTATAACCAGCAATTCTAACTCTTGATGACAAATTATCAAAAAAGTTTCGTTAACCATTTTATGAATTTAGTGATACAAATTTTTGAGCAGAAAACTTGAAATTTTGGTATTAAGAAAATCGGATATTTAAATATTGATCTAATTGAACAAAGAAAATTCTTTTGTTTTTTTTATAAAATATATAATATATAAAATCTCGCGCACTGTATATATGACGATGTTGGTTCGGTGACGTCAACGCTTGTCGTGACCTTGTATTCTACACACCTTGGCTGAAAAGTGTTCTAACTACGACGATGATGACGACGACGCCGACAGTCATTAGGGATTTCTACGTCAGCTGTTCCATTTTGTTCTGAATTTTTATAAAAAAATTTCTATTCCAAAAGATTTTTTTTTTAAGTTTAAACATATTCAAATGAAAATTATAGGACTAAAGGCTGATACTTATACAGGGTTATTCATTTAACGGTTTCGTAGATAAACGTAAATAAATGTATTATTTATTTTTTTGTGAAACTCTGCAATCTTCGAGCGGTTTGAGGTAATTTTCGACCACTTTTTGGCGCATACTGGGTGGTATCTCAGCCATAACTTGCCGAATATTGGATTTCCAGTGCTCAAGAGTTAAAGGTTTAACCGCATAAATATGTTTTTTCGTGTAGCCTCAAATGAGGTGAAATCGCCCGATCTCGGTGCCCACAATAAAACCATATTAAGTGAACCAAAGTCTGGCATTATCGTTTTCAAAGAAGTAAGGTCCAGTCGCACCTCCATACTAAGGAGTATGGTGTAGTGGCCCCTCTTTTAATACGAGTATTACAATATACTCGTTTCTAATACTTAGGATTTTGGTATTTCTATTGTGAGTCTTCAGTAATAGCGTGCCGGCATTTCTGGATACCATTTCTTTTGATAATGCCTTTCCAATAAGAAATATTCCGATTGAACCTCTCAACTTGTTTGTCACTCACAACTCCCAAAATTGCAGAAACGAGATCCAAATCAAAGCACAGCATAAATATTTTTAACTAAAAGTTTTTTTCTTAATTTTCTTTTTATTTTCAGAAAGCTAATTCCTGTTAAAAACCCCAACTATAAAGGCTGAGACAGACCCAAATCAAGTATTAAATCATTTAAATCACTTTCTCACTAGAATCCGGCCTTTCTGATCGGTTTAAAGGTCTCAAGTCGGCAGAATGTTGCACCATGAGGCATATGGCCAAAGACAAGCTTGAACGAATAGTTATACCATCTGGCTACATGTGGGCCGGATATATATAATAGATATTCACGACCAATTGCTCATATATTCTGTAGCTGTAGTTATTTTTGAGAAAATTTTACAAACAAAAATTATAAGGCAACGCATTTTTTTTTAGAAAATTTCGTACAGCTCCAACGCTCTACCTTAATTCTTGGTTGTTTTTACCGATCAGTGTTCTGCTAGATTATTTACGTACGATTTAGCCGAACAATTGTTAATAACAAAGGGTTTTCCATTAATCTTCTTTATATTTTTTTTTTTATTTTGAATATCCTGATTTTTCGGTACATGCCATTTCTGTAATTTGCCTACATCTTTTGACTTTTAAAATAAAGACTACGCCAGTAATAAAAATGGAACGATACACGCTTCTATAACGCATTGAAATTTTTCAAATTCACTATAAAAATTGTGAAAACCCGCAAGAGACGGTTCGTTTCGGTCGTCCTGAAGCAACTTGTTAACGGAAGAATTTGTGAAAAAAACGGATCCGTTGGGACAAGCTAGTCATGTGGAGAATAAAACACCTGCAGGTCGCTCAAGAACTACTGAGAATATTGCTGCTGTAGCCGAAAGTTTTGAAGCAAGCCCAGGTTTGTCCATTCCTCGTCGTTCCTTCGAATTGGACATTCCACAAACGTCACAACACTGTATTTTACATAAAACTTAAAGGTTTATAAAGTTCACAAGAACTCAAGCTGGCCGATCAGCAACAACGTCATGTATTTGCTGATTGGGTTCTTGCATTGCAAATGCATGAAAAAGATCCCGAATTCCATCGAAATATCACTTTTTACGCCTCGATGGCTACGACGATAAGCGAAACTGTCTCACTTGAGGCTCGGAAATCTCAATATTTATTGTTGAAAATCCTTTCTATCTAGTTACACGTTTGGTGTAGTTTATGGTCCGAAGAGGTCATTGGGCCTTACTTTTTCGAAAATGATGCTGGAGCGATAGTTACGGTGAATGAATTGCGCTATCGAGAAATGATTAAAGATTTTTTATGGCCGCCAATCATTGGTATTAATCTGTACAAAGTTTAGTTTAAACATGACGGTGGTGCGTGCCACATAAGCAACTAAGCCATCGATCTATCGCACGAATAAATGCTTCAATGTTGTCCTCCAATACGTCAACTGAAGCGGGATTACCTATATAGGCATTAGATTTAACACAGCCCCTCAAAAAATTTTCTAAAAGCGTTAAATCACACGATCGATGCGTCCAATTGACCGCTCCCGACCGTGAAATAAAATGTTCTCCGCACTCGCCTCTCAATAAGTCCATTGTCACGCGTGCTGTGTGGCATGTGGCACCGTCTTGTTGAAACCACATGTCATGCAAGACAAGCTCTTGCATTTTAGGCAACAAAAAGTTTGATATCAACTCACGGTAGCGCTCACCATTCACAGTTACTTTACGATTCGCATAATTTTTGAAGAAGTACGGTCCAATGATGCCATCAGCCCATAAATCGCACTTTTTCAGGATGCATTAGTAGCTCTTGCAGTGCTTCTCGCTGACCTTCGATCCGAAATCGACAATTCTGCTTATTTAAGTATCCATTGAGAAAAAACTGAGCTTCGAAGCGCACGTTGTTCGTCTGTAAAACGATTCTTGATTAAATTATAGACCACACTGAAGATGATTGACAGGGATGCAAAAAATCACCCTTTAGTTGACAAATCATATTTTTCGTTGCAGGTAAGCTTCACACATCGCAGTTAGCATATATAGTTCTCAAATATAAGGCCCAGTAAAAAGTTCATTCGTTTTTTATTGATTTTAAAATATGATAACTTTGTGAAGATTTGTCTTTGTTCGTAAACCTGTTGCCAACGAGATGCCATTATACCCCTCTCGTAGAAGAGGACGTCCCTATTGGCAATAACTCGGAGAGCCAATTTTCACTGGCTTCTCTTGAAGCCAACTTCTTACCATTAAGCGCGTTCGCCATGGACAGGAAAAGATGATAATCACTTGGTGCCAGGTCCGGACTAAAAAGTGAGCGCATTAGGACATGCCATCCGTGTTCCTGGAGCTTCTGGCGGGTCACCAAAGACGTGTGTGGCCTGGCGTTGTCTTGATGGAACACAATTCGGCCTCTGTTGATCAAAGAGGACTTCTACCGTTTCGGCTTAATGTCATCAAAAATTATCCACTTTACATTGCCAGTGGACGTCACTTTTCATCGTCGCTTCAGAAACGGATCGATTTTGTTGCGATTCAGCAGCGATTTGCAGATGGAAATTCCGTCCATCATATTTTAGTTCGTGTGGCACCCAAACATTGAATTCCTTTTTGAATTTAAGGTTAAGCTAATGGTTCCGAATGGTTTTCTGGCTTATCTTTAGCACCTCAGCAATTGAATAAGTGCTCACGTCTGTTTCCACTATTTCCATGATTTTATCGCAATTTTCGACGACAGGCCTTCTAATTTCTCTTTCTCTTTGCTGGCGTCCATCTTTGACGAGCGCTTACAACGTACTGAGTCATTCAATCGAATAAATGTCGAAGACAAACTTTTAGCGCGAACAAACACGTTTTCTACGCCGTATAGTATGACTTGTTGCGACATGTGACACTAGTCCTATGGACAATAACGCCATATCTTAGATAAAAACCGATCGAACTTTTTACTTCACTCAATATTTATATATGTAAATAAAATATACATACGTCCAAATCGGTTTTTTTTTTCAATAACTTCAAAGGAAAGTCCAAATAAATACACATTTGTAGTATAAATTTTGAAAAATATTGAATTTCGAAATAATTTCCATTTTTTGTTTTTGCCAAAAATTACCTTTTTAATGCCGGTGGATTTCCAAATCGAAAAACCAAATAAAAAAGTCGCCAAAGAATTATTTAATTTTGAGTTTTTTAAATTTATTTAACTGATTTTCGCTTACATTCATACATATATATGCACTTAAGTAATACTTCAGTTTAGTATCATTTATATAGATATATTTAAATGCTCGTGTGTGTATATTCAATTAATTTAATTCAATAATTTCTTCAATGCTTACTTACGAATGTAATTAGTGTCGATAAAATCTCATATATATATATATATATATATATATATATATATATATATATATTATATATATGTATATGTATGTATATACAGTGCTATGTGTTTTTCTGTGTACATAATTATAATATAATATTTGTATTTATGTATTTATGTATGTAAGTAAATTCCATTTGCAAAAGTCAAATTTAAAACATTTTCTCATTTCTCACATCATCATCATCATCATTTGCTTTCAAATTCAAATTCAAATCTTTAGTGCAGTCTTCCAGTAAACATTATCATGCATAAATATACACCTATAGATACATATGTATGTATGTATGTATATATATTTATATACTCGTATATACTATACAATACTCTTATGCATTAAAAATACTAAATATACATCTATATATATATATATATATACGTTTATACTACGTACAAAGTAATCGCAACACAAATAATAAAGGCCTCACTGCTGATGGGCACCTCTCTCCCACTCTCCCACTCTCCCGCTCTGCCACTTTTCCCCTTCCCTCCACCGCTAACAATATTATCTGAACATATGAATGGCTATATCCTGGACTCGTACTCGCATTCACTCAAATGAAAAGCCCAATGTGATAAATCAAAAACACATTTGTGTGATTAGCGTAGTGAGGAAGATCGCAACGTTTGATTGTGCGACCAAATGGCGACGGAGGAGACAATAACATATGTACATTGGACTAAATGAGCTACAGTACATATTGTATATGTATTGTATATCGTTTGAGTGTAGCGCTAATACCCATACAAATGGATGGTAATGTGTAGCACAAGTGTGTTGGTCTGTTGGTCTGTTGCGCTGGCTGACTGTCCTGGACAGTGAAAAGTGGCCTTGCATATCCCTTAAGCTTTATAAATTACCACCACAAGTCAGACAGGCGAGCAAACAGCGACAAACCGTTCAACAGAATGATCAGACCTCTATTCATGCATACATATATGAGTATGTGTGTGTATGTGTGTATGTATGTTTATACACCATGTAAAGTCATTTGGTCGCTAAGCTCCGTAAGACTGTGTGTGTTGGTCGGTGTTGAGCGGATATTAAGTGTCACTGCTTGTGTCTGTACGTTCGCTGCTTGCCTGTCTGCCTGTTCGGTTGGCTGATTGCTCGCACACCAACCAACTCTTAAACTCCACTCGATTCCACTTAACGGTGTGGCGAGAGGACGTGCGCTATTTTGTATGATTTATAGAATCGAGACAAATCTTTGATGGCAGAGCTATCAATTGTTTCACCTTGGCATCGGATGCGCTAATGCAATGCAGCAACAGCAGCAACGACAACAGCAGCATCACCATTATCAATAACAAGAGCAACAACAATGCGATTAAGTGCGCGAAGCACATACATCCATGCGCCGCACACATAAGCCACCGCAAACACAAATTCGAGCCAAGCCGAGCCAAGGCAAGCTTTCAAGCCCTACTCTGTGGTACCCAGCGCACTTTTTCCTAGTCAACGCCACTCCACTCCACTTTACGGTACTCCACTTCACTGCACTACACTTCAATTTTTGCCACTTCACACCCTGCAACTCCACCACTTTCATTACACTTCACCTTCTTGCTCCATCCATCCATCCATACCATCACAGCGCACAGCACAGCACACAATCAAGAGGCACCATCAAGCTAGCAAGCAAGCAACCAAACCAACCAACCAACCATCCATCCAACCAACCAAATCAACAGCAACTTTGCTGCACTGACAAATGACACTTCACCAATTAAGGTCAGCGTTTTAAGCAGATTAATGGAATCGCCTTTGTACTCGTATTTTTCGTTTTCGTTTTCGTTCTTGTCTTCGTGTCTGTTGTTGTTGTGGTTGGTATTGTTGTTATATTGTTGTCTCCTTTCACATTTTTCATGGAAATTGGCTCACCTGTAATGCCAGTGTCATTTATGCTGGATGTGGACGTCGAGAAGCCAGGTAATTTGCGCCAACCTTTGCGATTCCAGAAGCTACGCGCTTTCGACTCGGTCGGCACCACCGGTCCCGGATCTTCGGCTGCACGAATTTTAGCACAATTCAGTATGCGTCGACCGCAAGAGGCGCGTGTTAAGAAGCCCGAATTTAAATCATCATCAATTGTCAAGTGATGGTGCTGAAGATGGTGGTGTGGTTGTTTGGTGGAGGAAGAGCGTTGAAATGAGCGACAACTTTGCGTGCCATAAGAGAAACTGCACGAAGTGGATGGCTGTGCTGCTGCGGCGCTATTGGCTTGCGTTTGACGCGTGCTCATTATATGCGATAGCGCAGCGTTAGTCTTGTGTATACGCAGACTGCCAATGTAGCTGGCGCCACTGCTGCCGCTAAAACCGCTATCTAAGTCGGCGGCGCAGAAGGCGGCATTTGTTGAAGACTGTACGGGCGAGAGTAGCTCATCAGTGGGTCCCACTGTGCTGAGCAGCTCCGAGAGATTTGCATCACAGATATTATCGGCCGATGTGGAAGAGAGCCGTAAACTGCCGGCACCACCGACGGCAACAGAACCCAAATTCGGCTGACCCGAGGCGGTCGTAACGCTAACGCTGGGCGCTTCGCAACTGGTCGGACTGGCACTGGGCGGACTTTCAGGCATTAACATGGCCTCGACGGACAAATTCAATTCGCCAAGTATTTTATGATGACGGTTTTGTACACGTCGCAATTCCTCTTCGACCAATGATTGATTCAGTGAACCGGCTGAATGTGAAGTGCCCGTTGGTCGGAGATGATGATGGCGGTGGCTGGTATTGTTGTGGTGGTGATATTGCAATGCCGCCTCATTCGAGGATATCTCTTCGTAGAAATTCTCGCTTGTCGCACCCGCAGTCGCGCCAACACCCGCACTGCGCAATGTCGAGCTATCACATGATATGGCGCCATCCAGACCGTACTGCGCCTGGTAGGCATGACGTGCGGCTGGCGATGACAATAATTTGTTCTTCATACCCTTCGAAAGTAGCGCGCGTATTGAGTTGGGCGGCGGCGGTGGTGCATGATGCGCGATTGTGTGTGCGCTACCAGGTATCATTTCGGGCGGTGGTATATTTGAGTGGCGCATCGCAGCGCCTGGTTCATAATACGCGTAAGAGTAGTCGTGCTGCGCGTGTGGATGGGTGTTATGTGCATGTTGATGTAACATCTGTAAGCTTGTGGTCTGTTGCACCGCAGACCATTTCGCGTCCGAGTTGAGCATTTCATTGGCGCGACCGAGTGTTTTGCTATTGTGACGTGCAGACATTCGTGAAATATTTATTGGCTCCTGCTCGTTGCACACCTCAATGGCGTCTGGATCGGGATCGGGATAACGTGGCAATACCTGTCGCCGTCCGTACGGACTGACACCTATGGTAGTGCCACTTGTCGCCGACGACGATGACGGTGAGCTGGAGGCGGACGCAGACGAGTGGTGGTGATGATGGTGATTTTTATTGTTGACTGTGGCATTGTTCACTGACGCCGAGGTCAAAGTGGCATTCACTGTGGCATGTGTGGCATTGTGTGTGGTAACGGACACAGTAGATGGCGCCGCAGCTGTCGCCGTAGGCTCCAAGTGTGTCAGTACATTGTCGGTGAGTATTTGATGATGATGTTGTTGTTGTTGTTGTTGCTGTTGGTGATGTTGCAGTTGTTGTTGGTGCTGTTCGTGTTGCTGCTGTTGCTGTTGTAGTTGTTGTTGGTGATAATGCTGATGGTGCTGATGATGATGTCCAATGGCATTCGCTTTGTTATCCAGCTGCGTTGTTGCTGTTGTTTTTGTCGCGTTACTTATAGCTGCCGACTTGGCATTTGCCGTGGACATTGTTTTAGTGGCTGCTGTGGTGGCAGTGGCAACGGTCGTGCCGGTTGGCGTTTTCGACGGTGGCGGTGGATAATCTGGCGGCGGTGGAAAGTGCAAGCAATTGGCGACAAATTTAGGTGTTGTCGCAACCGGCGCTCCGTGATTGTGCTCCGACTCCGCCGTCAATTGATAGGCAATCTCGAGTTGCTGTTGCTGTTGCTGCTGCTGCTGCTGAAGCTGATGATGTTGTTGCAGTGTCAATTGCTGAAAGGGATGTATGAGTTGTTGTTCTTGCTGTTGCTGTTGGAGCTGTTGTAGTTGAAGTTGTTGTTGTTGCTGTTGCTGTTGCTGTTGCTGTTGCTGTTGTTGCTGCTGCTGATGATGATGCAATTGTGCCACAGCCTTTTGTATTTGTTGTTCTTCGAGTAAATACCGATGCTGTTGTTGCTGTTCCTGTTGTTGCAACATTTGCTGTTGCTGTTGCTGCTGCTGCTGATGCTGTTCTTGTTGCAGCAATAGTTGTTGTTGCAATTGCTGTTGCTGCTGCTTGATTGTTTGCGCTTGACGATGCACCTGCGGCTGTTGTTGCGTGTAAAAATTCTGATTCGGTGGCAATTGCTGGCATTGCTGCTTCAATTGTTGTAGATCCCTTTGTGCTCGAATGGTACGTTTGCTGCCGCCTAAGCAGTTCTCCATGGCACATGTTGATTTATGACAAAAAAGTGGCAATGAAATTAACTGTTTTGTATTTAACTGGCTTAAATGATATGGCAGTTCGGTGTTGACGTTTCAGTAATTGTACGGTTGGTTATGGCGCCTCGAAGTCCTCTGCTCTACTCTACTCTACTGCATAAAAAACCCAAGGGTATATGTCCTTTCGTCCTCTCGTCCTTTATATTCCTTCGTTCAATTATTAAATGCTGAAATGGAAGAGAAGAGAAGAGAAGAGAGAAATAAATAGTTATAATAAATATAAAGGACCTTGGCTGAAAGTTTCAAATGGTGAATATGTATGTATGTGCGTAGCTTTATCTAGTTTTACTACACGCTTTGTGCTGATAAAAGCGGAAAATACAATTAAAGCAAGCTTTTCCGCCGCACAAGACAACAATTAATTTTATCTAATTATTTTAACGGTGGAGACAGTTCCGTAGGCTCACAAATAAACCGTTGTGCAGTAATTTAACGAATTCAACATTTCACTTGAGCAAAACTCGAGCGATACGCAAAATATGTCTGCGTGCGATCTTAGTTAAAGATTGAAATTCAGATAAGAACGACTGCAGAAGCATTTTTATTCAAACCGCAATAAGTTTTTATATGAAAATAAATAAAAAATTAAAATAATAACACAGCGCTTTTACAAGCCGCTAAGAACTAGTAATAACTGCCTGGCCTTCGGGCTGAACTCAGTCGTCTTTATATATATATGTAGACGAGGGGATTAATAAAAGTTCGGTAAGTTGACCAGAAAAATAATTTCTTTTTGTATTTATTCATAATCTTTGTTCTTTTCTATCTTTTCTACATAATCGCCATTGATTCTAATGCATTTCTTAAGCCTACAGACCCCCTTCTGAAAACAGTCTTTAAAATCTTGCTTTTAAGCTTAGCAAGTTCAGCATTTAACGCCTTAATTATCTCCTCGTTGCAATCAAAGACCTTTTCTTTTTAATTTTTTTAATTTTTGGAATTAACCAGATATCACCAGGTGACATATCTGGGTAATATGGTGCTGAACGTATTTCTTCGATACCAGATGTCGTAATAAAATTAATCGCCGCAAATCCTCTTTAAAATTCGTGGTAAGCATGAGAAGATTTTTTCATGTATCCCAGATGATTATTTAATATTCGTGATACAACCTTGAATGCCATGGCCAATTCATTTTATTCTTGTGTCAATTTTGGACTTCACCAAAGCTACAGTGACGTCATCACTGAAAGTTTTTAGTCGACCTTCTCGTGGCCCTTCCTCTATGAAGAAATATCCGGTCTGAAATCTTTAGAACCATTTAGAAATAGTCTTTCATATGAAATTTGGCATTCACTGAATATTTGTATTGACTGTAGGTTACGCCGAAACCCGCAGAGAGTGACATGGCGAATTTCTGTTTGCTTTGGTGATGGAATTTCGTCTGACCTAACCTCAGCTCTCTTGCGTTTGCTGGTGTCCATTTTAGTCGTTCGTTTTAAAATTTGAAAGGAAGACTAATAAAGTAATTGCAAAGGATTTGGTATTTTTAGATTTAACAAAAACAAATTGAAAGCCACCAACTAATCGAACTTTTGTTAATCCTCTCATAAAGTTTGTCCTAAGATTAACGCGAGATTTAAATTTGCCGCCATTTATGTAGGAAAGCGTTGACAACACTAAAAAAAAAAAAACAAATCGAGTGCTGACAGTTTAGAGTTAAGTAAAAATGGAGCGTTATTGATCGATATTTCAGAAATCAGTGGCAGATGCAATTCGAAAATCGCACACAAATTATAACACTGTGATTGTGTTCGTCAACTGTGAAGAGATTAATTGGAGGCTTCCAAGAGGCTGAATCCATTGGAGATGTTAAGCATACACGTCGTCTAAAAAGAACTCGTTCAAATGACAATAGCTAAGCTCAGCGTGAGAGTGTCTGTAGAAAAGATATTCGAATTTCAAGAAGCTCTCTAAATCGTATACTCACTGAAGATCTCTGTCTCCATACTTACACAATATTCAATTTACGCAATAACTGAAGCCAAATGACCATGTAAAACGAAGGGAGTCTATTAAATGGATTATTGATCCCTTAAACCTGGCTGCTGAATTTTCGAGCAAAATCATCCAAAGCCATGAAGCACATTTCATCTTGACGGGTTTTTTAATCACCAAACTTGCCCCTTTTGGGGTGCTAGGAACCCACGATTGATTTTCGAAAAACCAAAGCATCAACAACCTGACACTCTTTGGTGTTGTTTATGGGCGCTGGAGGCTTAATCGAAAATGAAGCTAGTCAAGTAGTCACTGTTACGATTCTGCATGACATGCTATTAAATTATTTAATTTTGAGAAAGAAAACTTTTTTAGGTTCAATTATTAAAGATAAAAAATTTCAGCGCAAAAAATATTATTTTGGACTGCTTTTTATATTATATGACAGTAGCAGAATTATGCGTAATAACTGCAAATTAAATAATTTCCAAACCTCGTTATGTTTTCTAAGAAATCCATTTATTTGTAAAAATACTAAGAGAGTAAATTTATCCTATTCTGTCGAGGTAACAAAATTTATCTAGGTATTCAGTAAATTTTGTTACCATTTCGTATTCTGAGTTCACGGTTACCCTGTAAATTTTGTTACCAGCGAAATAGGAGGTAACAAAAATATCTGATGTTTCATTTTGTGTTGTAAGTTTGAGAAAAAATAAAAAACCAAAATGGGTAGGCATATTTTAGGCCTGGAATTCATTGAAGATGAAGAAAAATATGCAAAATGCCGTTTTTTAAGAAGTTTCAGGGACTAAAAAATAGCCCTTTAATTTGTAAGATAAGGTTTTCATTCAGCTTTTTTTGTTGTCCAGGCATATTTTTCATAATTAGGTCCAAATATTTATGACTTAATAAACAAATTAATAAAACTTTTTAATTTTTTTGTGCACCGTCTTCCATTTCGATGTGAATATTTTTATTTTTACTTTATCAACTGGCAAATGTAATTTGACATGGACGAAAAAAGCAGTGCTGCCAAATTTTTTTTTCAAATATTGTAACCAGTTCGCCAGAATACCAAATTCAATTTTGGGTATTAAAGAAAAGTAACAAAATTTACTTTACCGGTAACAGTGAGAATAGGCCTGATAAAGTGAAGTAAGTTCCTCTACCTAAAGTACTGTGCGGTCAGATTTTTCATACCTAAGAGTAGGTAAACACGTAAACAAAAAACAATTTTGCTTAATTTTTTTTGATTTATATTAAGATTAAAGCAATAGAAAACTCAAAATCAAATTTGAAACTAATTTATTCCATTAATTTATTCGACTTATTCACTCCATCACTTTTGTGAAGTTTTGCGAACTTCTCCTCTGTATAAATTGACATTTTGTTAGGCATATAATAGAAGCATATGAAGAAAATAGAAAATGGTATCTATTGCACAAAGGTGAAAGTGTTTTCATCAATAATTTTATTAATATAGACCATAAAACTAATCAGAAGGCAAATATTGATTCTACTTAATATAATGAATGGGATGTGTTTGCTTAAAATAATTGCTGTGAGCCCTTTTTCCTTTTTCCTATTTCCTTTATCCCCATTAATTTATTTACTTCAAATATGTATGTATTAAATAAATAATATACGGTCTACGCCCTTAATAGGGTTAGTTACAAAACAAGTTTCTAACCACGCATACATATACATTCTTCTTATATATTAAATGAAATTCAGACGTTGTCCTTACATTAGTCCTAAGTTGGTAAGCCAATACTTAAATATATGAGCGCATGTTTTCTTTCATACATTAATATTATTAATTTTCATTACACAGTAACCCTTTTACTTTCACATACCGCATTCATATGAAAGTAACCCAGTAAACACGACGAGTATGCTTCGTTTTCGAGACGAGCGCTTTTGCAGCAATAGAACTGTCGAGTGGATACTTTCAGGATAATAAATCGAAAAATTGCGATTTGTTTGAGAATAATCCATTTAGTGTCTATAGCGAAGCGGGCGCCACTCGTTTTCTGGAGTTTTTTATAATACTAATAATTTCCTCCGACTGAAGTGTTATAGAATTGATTCCATATAAGATTCAGTTATATCAATTAGAGAGCTGAAAACTTTCACATTAAGACCACATTAAGAAAGTGTTCGGAGATAGTTTTTTTCAAATTCGCGGTTTGGTTCACCATTCATTCCAAAGGTGGCCATCTGTTCCTAAAGAGTATTTGAGCGTTTTAAGACGTCTGTGCCAAAGCATACGTCATAAGCGGTCGTTGAGAACGATTTTACGATCAAAAACTCTTTCAATACCAACCAACCAACCAACGTATTCATCAGGTGAAAGGTGAAATAGGTGAAAGACTAAATCATTCAAATGCTCGCCTCGCGATTTTTTGATAATTTCTGATTTTGGTTTTCCAGTGCTCAAGAGGTAAAAGTTTATTGGCAATTCGCGTAGCTCTACAAAAAAAAATCCAACGATGTCAAATCGTACGTTCTCGGGAACCAATTGACATCGACAAGACGAGATGCTTACGGGAAATTGTTCTAACAATAAAGCCATATACGCTCGTATTGAAATCATATATTGCTCAAGTCGGATTCTTCAATTGAAGACCAAATAAGTGGGTTGTCGTAGCACCCTGTTGCTCCGAATAGACAGTGGCAGTCTCGATATTGTCGATTTCAAATAAGTTAGGTCCAATCACACTTTCGGACCAAAGAGCACAAGAGAGCGTCAGTTTTTTGATTGGGTGTAATGACCTCTTCGGATGCTCACCACCCCAAATTCTACAATTTTTTTCGTTTTCCCTGAGTGAAAAATGCGCCTCGTCGCTGAAATTTTTTTTTTTCGAAAAATCGCCGTCCATCGTTTGTTCGTCAAGCACTTAATATGTATGGCTTTGTCATTGGTCAGCTTGCTTCAGCTGTTGTGTAAACTGTACTTGAAATGAAAGTAGGTGTAAGTGCAAGAGCCAAATATGCCATAATGCGCCGTGAGCAAACTTGAGCTTATGAGAGAGTCAAGAAATAAACACATTCGGGTCCTCGGCTACACTTGCAATTTTACTACCGATATTTGAGTTGGCACAACCGAAACGACGATGTAGAGGCCTTAAAATTTCTGAAACCGATATAGTCTTTACAAATTTCTTTAAAATTTGGTAGAATCGTTGACCGATTATGTGCACCATAGACTGCCCTTAAAGCACAAAATG